CAGCAACAGTATTTCCTTCCAGTGAATCATTTTGGAATTGAAGAAACAGGACATTAATGCATAAAAGAGTTTGATCCACTGCATTACTCCCCTGATGTAAAACATGCTGTGCCAGATATGCCCCATCCAGCTGCAGTCCTGACAATTACAATGTACTGGGGGAATGTTCAGCTTGGTGTTATCGTTATTGCAAACATTTATAAGCTTCCAAGTGCTAGCTGGCGACAACAAGTCCCTTCAATAATGCCTCACTGCCACCCCCAGCATACTTTCAATCCCTCAATAACCACAAAACAGTCTGGAGTTACTCGACGCCTAAATATGACCTCCAATAAACCACCTTGCCTTGACACAGCAATTTGAACAAAATGAAAAATGTCAAATAAAAACCAAAAGAACTGCAGATGCTGTAAATCAAAACCAAAACTAGAAATTGCTGGAAAAACTCAGCAGGTCTGGCAACATCTGTGGGGAGAAATTGGAGTTAACATTTTGAGTCGAGTGACCCTTCCTCAGAACTGTCATCTAATCAGAAGGAGCTGAACATACTGAACTAGCCTGTGTGGGGTCTGTTCCTTGAATGGCCACCCTCAACCAGCACAGAGTCTAGTCCTAAACAACTTCTCACAAAGTGATCATGGGCTAGCAGTCATTCCCACTCTCCTCATCCAGAATGGAAGGAAGATGTGACACAATTTCGAAGAATTTGATCAGGTAAAACTGCCCAGCAAGATCTTGAACTGCATATGTATGAAACTGTCTCTGTGGTGTAAGTCACAGACATCCCATGTCACAATTGGTGCAATGATGTCCTATGCCATGAGGCAAAGAGCATCATGCCATATCAGGGTCAACAGATGCTTCATATTCTTATAGCAGTGTGCTGCACCATGAATCATGATACAGTTTCCAACTCGAGACCCTCAATGCTGAACTTTAGGTCAAATGGAGGTCACAACAGTAGGGCTGACTTTCACTCCGTAAGGCCAGGTGTTCTTTATCATGATTGGAGCCTTGGAGCAGCACAAAGTATGTCCTATATCAGGTATCGGTCAGCCCAAACTAATCGGTCTTTTATCAGTTGTTATACCACCCAATCTCCATTGTTGTGAACTCTCTAGACAAGATAGTATACCAGAGATATCACACAGTTGACGGAATATTGCAGTTCATGGTGTAACACTGCAGTCTCAGTGAATCAGTCTTAAAAATATATCCAGAGAGTTCATCACCAAAATATCAGCGCTAACAAAGTAGTAATAATAATAATAATAACTACATATCTAATTTGATAGCCAAAAACTAAATGATAATCCCAGTGAATGCAAGTGGAAGGAACTTTGTATGAAAGTTAGTGTTCAGAGACCATCAAAGGATAACAGCAACAAAGGGCAAGGTGGGAAACATCCTGTTGTACAAAATAGCTTGATCCTCTGTGTAGCGCTGGACTCCAGATCTTAGCTATTGTCCTATCAGACTTCACACCACAGTACTGTGCATTATTTTACAAATAGCGCAACTCACAAACCTCATTGACATCAAATAATTTTAATAACATACATTGTAGTTGGAATGCTGTGCTCAACACCCCTCCCAGTGATCTGTCCTCACAAATATCATGACCCCATACGTTCACTGACTGACGAAAACATAAAAGATGGTCAAAGCCATCTGGTGCTGATCCCCAGTTATCATGACCTGCTAAACTTACTTTTGCCCACATTGCATCTGTAATACATTGTACTATTTGGAGCTAGCTGCCTGAACACAGGCGAGCATCGACAAATTCCCTTTAGATCAAGGAATGAGAAACACCAGATGTCACTAAGAGGTGATTTGTTGCAAAATGTACCTGACCGAGCAGGCTTTGAACTACCACAGAGAGAGGGTGGTCTTGCTAAAAATTTTCCAGACAGGCCAGAGCCAGCGGTCAGCCAAACTCCATTAATTTGGCCTCAGTGTAAACCCATTCTGGACAGTATAGAGAAACAGACAAGCTGCACGTTACTGAAGAGTCTCCTGATTGCAAAGCTATTTGCTTTAAACTCAGCATGTGAGAACACAGTTGCCTGGCATCGAGACTTACCTTGCTAAATAGAAATTAACTAATTATCAGGCCTAAAGTGGAAATGTTACAAGACTTGCTGGGAACACCAGCAATGACAAGGATGGTGTCTTATGCTTTTAAGATCATTTGCCTTGGAAAATACATTTAGTTGTTTGTGAAACAATCTCTCCATTCCTGCTGCTGGCAATTTCTCTGAATTGGAGAATTATCTCGTAATTGGAGATGAGACTACTCCAGAGATTTTGTGTGGTATCCCTACTGGGAAAATATGATTACACTTCTTTGTTTAAACAATTTGAGTGAACAGGTTGTGACAAAAGGTTTATTTTAATGATGTGATATCATTGAGATTTAAGTCTGTATTTGAATACCCCTAAGACTGGATTAATCTGATCCTCTTAGGTCTCAAATGTTAATTGCAATTTGTATTCAGACAACAATAACTGCACTTTTTCATACACTGCCAGTCCCATCAATATTTAAATACTTTTTGATATTCTTTTCAGTGATGACTTTTGTCGCTTTTATACTCTATGCCTCTGTTTATAAACGCAAGGATCCTAAAAGCTGCCTTAACAACTATTTTAACTTGCCTGGCCACCTTCAGAGAATCGTGCAATGAACCCTGAGGCCCCTCTGCTCCTGTACTCCCCTCAAAGTGGTAGCCTTGAGCCTGTATTGTCTTAATGCATTTGCTGTTGTTGCAAATCACTTTAATCTATGCCCTCTGGTTCTCAACCCTTCACAATTGGAACAGGTTCCCTCTGTCTACTGTGTCCAGTCTTCTATTTTGAAAGCTTCTCTCAAAACTCCTCTCTGAGGACAATGCTCCCAACTTCTCCGATCTTTCCTCATAACTGAAATAGCTCCTCCCGGGAAACATTCTTGTGAACCATTTCCCCATACACTCCAATGCATTCACATCTATCCCATAGTGTGACAGCAAGAATTGTATATGATATTCTAACAGAGGTCTAAGCAGTGTCCTAAACAAGTTAATTAATGAAGGCTAGCATACTACAGGTGTCATTAACACTTCCTCTGCCTGTTCTTTTATACATATTTACCCAGGTCTGTCTGCTCTTGCACACTCTTTAGAATAGTCTTATATATTTGTACCAAAATGAATCGTCTCACACTTCTCCTCATTTGAAGCTCATCGGCCACCTATCTAGACAGCTATAGTGTTAAAGTCCTTTTGAAGTTTCATTCTGTCCTTTTCACAATTTACAATTCTCCCAAGTTTTGAGTTACCCACAAACTTTGAAATTGTCCCCTGCCCACCAAGATACAAATCATTTATATATATCAAGAAAACCAAGGGCCCAAATTCACTTCCAAATTCCTCTTCTCTTCAACCTGAAAAATATCCACCTACCAATTCTCATGGTTTTGTACCACTCCACCAACTTTTATCCACGTTGCTACATTTTATTCCATGACAAGCAACTTTCCTCACATCTGTTGTGTGGCATTGTATCGAGTGCCATTTGGAGGCCCATATACACTACATCAGCCTTGCTATCACCAATCCTCGCTGTTACTACTTCAAAAAATTTCAGTAAATTAGTTATAATGTCCCCCCTTAACAAATCCGTGCTGGCCCTTCCAAATCAGCCCACATTTTTCCAGGTGACTATTAATTTTATCCAGAATAATTGTTTCCAGATGTTTCCCCACCGCTAGAATTAAACAGATAGGCCCAGTAATACAGACCAGTCTTTACATGGCTTTCTGAGCTAATGTTTACTATTCTTCATTTCTCCGGCACTGCCCTGATCCAGGTTAGAGTGAAAGATCTAGTGTCTTTCATTTGTGTGTCTCTGCAAATTCCCCTCTCTGTCCCTTCATGATCTTAGGATGCTTCTCATCTGGTCTCAGTGCCTTATCAACTTTAGCTGTTAATAGATTATCAATATCTCCTCATCACTTCTAAACCCTTTTAGTGATGGAGCTCCTCATGTAATCGTGTCCTGGCAGCATCTGCATTGCAGGTGAAGACAGATACAATGTATTCATTTAACACCTCAGCCATGCATCTTGCTTCTCAATGTAAATCCCTTTTATGATCCCTGTTTGGTCCTTAATATGCCCTAATCCCCTTTTACCACCTTTTACTATTAATGTGCTTATAGAAGGAAGATTTGAGGATTTCCCTTAATGTTAGTTACCAGCTTTTCTCTTCATTATACCTCTTTGCTTCTCATATTTGCTTTTCCACCTCTGTGTATTTCCTGTATCCAGCTTGGTTCTTGATTGTGTTTACTACACAAAACAATTAAACCTGTTGTAAAGAAATCTCAAACTTGCCTTCTCCATGACCAGTCTGATCTCATGGTTGTGGACGTTAAATCACTTGACAAAAGTGTGCCCACTTCAATTTTTTTTCTGCCAGATGGAGGGGCATTAACACTCTGTCCTTGCCATTCCCATAGCCCCCCTGTAATTGCACCAAGCAGGTGGCATCTGTTAAGAAGACTGTCTCTCTGGAGAGACAGCCACTAATGTGGATATCTTTATGCTACGCAATCTGCTCAGTAACTCCAACACTTCCCATTCTATTTCAGATTTTCAGCATCTGTAAAAATTCTGTTTTCTTTTTTAAGCATGTTAAAGGATGTAGTCTGCACCAGAAAGAGCAAGAGTGGAAAAACTTTGTTCTCAATGTGGCTCTGATTCTTGGTTTGGGTTCTCCAACAGCACTTGGATCTGGTGTCTATGTGTAACATTGCCGGGGGATAATATTCTGGGCAATCAGGAATGGGTAGGAAATGGGATGAGTTAGAAAGCTGCTTCAAAAAGCCAATACAGATAAAATAGATCCAACAGCTTCCTCCTTTGCGTGTGTGTGTGTGTGTGTATATACCCATTGCAGTCAGTTTGTTTTAAAGTGAAATTAGTTTAATGTATGAATTGTTTGCTTATTTTCCAGCTGGCGATGTACATTTTACCTCCTGGCATTTATTGGTGGTATTGCTGTCCTGATTGATGTAAGTAATTTCACTACATGATTTGATACAAATTCATACCATTGGGGTTTAGTGACATTTAAGTTTGATAACAAAAGCAGAAGTTGCTGGAAAAGCTCAGCAGCTCTGGCAGCATCTGTGAAGAGAAATCAGAGTTAATGTTTCAGGTCTGGT